GAGCTGGTTCCTGTCGTTGTTGAGGGGATTGAGCTGGTTCCTGTTGTGGTTTTTGGGGTTGAGCTGGTTCCTGTGGTGGTTGAGGGAGTTGAGCTGGTTGTTGTCGTGATTGAGGGGGTCGAGCTGGTTCCTGTAGTGGTTGAGGGAGTCGAGCTGGTTGTTGTCATGGTTGAGGGGGTTGAGCTGGTTCCTGTGCTGATTGAGGGGGTTGAGCTGGTTCCTGTCGTTGTTGAGGGGATTGAGCTGGTTCCTGTTGTGGTTTTTGGGGTTGAGCTGGTTCCTGTGGTGGTTGAGGGAGTTGAGCTGGTTGTTGTCGTGATTGAGGGGGTCGAGCTGGTTCCTGTAGTGGTTGAGGGAGTCGAGCTGGTTGTTGTCATGGTTGAGGGGGTTGAGCTGGTTCCTGTGCTGATTGAGGGGGTTGAGCTGGTTCCTGTCATGGTTGAGGGGATTGAGCTGGTTCCTGTTGTGGTTGAGAGAGTCGAGCTGGTTGTTGTCATGGTTGAGGGGGTTGAGCTGGTTCCTGCTGTGGTTTTGGGGGTCAAACTGGTTCCTGTGGTGGTTGAGGGAGTCGAGCTGGTTCCTGTTGTGGTTTTGGGGGTCGAACTGGTTCCTGTGGTGGTTGAGGGGGTTGAGCTGGTTCCTGTCGTGGTTGAGGGGGTCGAGCTGGTTCCTGTCGTTGTTGAGGGGGTTGAGGTGGTTTCTGTCAGTGTTGAAGGGGTTGAGGTGGTTCCTGTGGTGGTTGCGGGGGTCGAGCTGGTTGTTGCTGTGGTTGAGGGGGTCGAGCTTGTTACTGTTGGGGTTGAGGGGGTTGAGCTGGTTCCTGTCGTGGTTGAGGGGGTCGAGCTGGTTCCTGTCGTTGTTGAGGGGGTTGAGGTGGTTTCTGTCAGTGTTGAAGGGGTTGAGGTGGTTCCTGTGGTGGTTGCGGGGGTCGAGCTGGTTGTTGCTGTGGTTGAGGGGGTCGAGCTTGTTACTGTTGGGGTTGAGGGGGTTGAGCTGGTTCCTGTCGTGGTTGAGGGGGTCGAGCTGGTTCCTGTCGTTGTTGAGGGGGTTGAGGTGGTTTCTGTCAGTGTTGAAGGGGTTGAGGTGGTTCCTGTGGTGGTTGCGGGGGTCGAGCTGGTTGTTGCTGTGGTTGAGGGGGTCGAGCTTGTTACTGTTGGGGTTGAGGGGGTTGAGCTGGTTCCTGTCGTGGTTGAGGGGGTCGAGCTGGTTCCTGTCGTTGTTGAGGGGGTTGAGGTGGTTTCTGTCAGTGTTGAAGGGGTTGAGGTGGTTCCTGTGGTGGTTGCGGGGGTCGAGCTGGTTGTTGCTGTGGTTGAGGGGGTCGAGCTTGTTACTGTTGGGGTTGAGGGGGTTGAGCTGGTTCCTGTCGTGGTTGAGGGGGTCGAGCTGGTTCCTGTCGTTGTTGAGGGGGTTGAGGTGGTTTCTGTCAGTGTTGAAGGGGTTGAGGTGGTTCCTGTGGTGGTTGCGGGGGTCGAGCTGGTTGTTGCTGTGGTTGAGGGGGTCGAGCTTGTTACTGTTGGGGTTGAGGGGGTTGAGCTGGTTCCTGTCGTGGTTGAGGGGGTCGAGCTGGTTCCTGTCGTTGTTGAGGGGGTTGAGGTGGTTTCTGTCAGTGTTGAAGGGGTTGAGGTGGTTCCTGTGGTGGTTGCGGGGGTCGAGCTGGTTGTTGCTGTGGTTGAGGGGGTCGAGCTTGTTACTGTTGGGGTTGAGGGGGTTGAGCTGGTTCCTGTCGTGGTTGAGGGGGTCGAGCTGGTTCCTGTCGTTGTTGAGGGGGTTGAGGTGGTTTCTGTCAGTGTTGAAGGGGTTGAGGTGGTTCCTGTGGTGGTTGCGGGGGTCGAGCTGGTTGTTGCTGTGGTTGAGGGGGTCGAGCTTGTTACTGTTGGGGTTGAGGGGGTTGAGCTGGTTCCTGTCGTGGTTGAGGGGGTCGAGCTGGTTCCTGTCGTTGTTGAGGGGGTTGAGGTGGTTTCTGTCATTGTTGAAGGGGTTGAGGTGGTTCCTGTGGTGGTTGCGGGGGTCGAGCTGGTTGTTGCTGTGGTTGAGGGGGTCGAGCTTGTTACTGTTGTGGTTGAGGAGGTTGAGCTGGTTCCTGTTGTGATTGAGGGGGTCGAGCTGGTTTTTGTTGTTGTTGAGGGGATTGAGCTTGTTCCTGACAAGGTTGATGGGGTCGAGCTGGTTCCTGTAATGGTTAAGGGGGTCGAGCTGGTTCCTGTTGTGATTGAGGGGGTCGAGCTGGTTTTTGTTGTTGTTGAGGGGATTGAGCTTGTTCCTGACAAGGTTGATGGGGTCGAGCTGGTTCCTGTAATGGTTAAGGGGGTCGAGCTGGTTCCTATTGTGATTTTGGGGGTCGAACTGGTTCCTGTGGTGGTTGAGGGG